TTATATTTATATTCGGTACCTGGAAGATAAAGATATGACTCTTACCTATCTGTCAACATGTATATTCAACACTTCCATCATCTTCTAAAAGCTTATAACACCTTTTAAATTAAATCCATATTTCATTTTCACAATGACTGAAAAGATTCAAAATTGAGTTATGAATTTCACTATACTTTCGTATCTTTTTTCATTCCATAGGTTCCTATGCACTTAGTGTTAATACACTACTAAGCTCTCAAAAATAACTACAACAGTACAACAGAAACACCAACAAATGAATCTATTTCCATTTTCACATTGGAGGAGATCCTGCTGGAGTCTTTTGTCCTCCTGTGTGGAGCCTGGCTGCCATTCATTCAGAATGCTCCTTCATCATCCTGGGAAAGTCCTGCACCCGGGCTGGATCCCTTGTTGAAGGACCACACACCTTCCACTTTCTTGTTCTACTTCTTTGTTTCAAAGAGCACATCCTCTACTAGATTCCTGTAAGTGGATGTTGCATGTGTTTCTTGAGAAATTTTGTACACTGGGTGTCACTTTCCCTCAGAATTCTGAAGGAATGGTTCCAGCATGTGGTAAGCTGTCCAAGGTTGCTGTTGATAATTCTGAAGCCATTTGGACACTCATAAAAATATTTACAATATTTTCTTCATGGATGGTGCTCACAAATGTTTTGATGATATATCTTCATGTGGTTCTGTTTTCATCCACTGTGCTAAGTACTCAGTGGTCTCTTTCTATTATCAAAATTGAAGACTTGGTTCTGGCAAGTTCTCTTCCACCTCCCTTTCCCTCTCTTCCCTCTCCCCTCTTTTCCCCTCTCTTCTCTGTCTCTGTCTCTATCATTTTTATGTTTCTATATTCTCTTTCCCTAGCTTTACATGCATTTGTATATTGTACCTCCTGGGTTGATCTTCTAACACACATACACACACACACACCACCACCACCACCACCACCACCACCACCATCACCATCACCATTTTCTGGTTCTTGGCTTCCCTGTTCTGTCAGAGAATAGCTTTCAACATTTTTGTAAAAACAGTATTGAAAATTTTATTTCTGCCATTATTATTTCTCAGTCCACTTTGTCCTGCTGTAGCAGAATGTCACAGACTGCAACTTAGAACAGAAATGTATTGGCTTACAGTGTGGAACACCAGGAAATCCAAGGTCAGGATGTTTGGGAATTTTTGCCATGTCACCACATGGTGGGAAGTAAAAGGGCAAAAGAGGAGGGAGCTGAACTTTCTCTTTATAACAGCATGGATTCACCACAAGGGAAGGATCTTTATGGCCTAATCACCTCTGAAAGACTCTACTTCAAGTGTGGGAGACGCCAGTATTCAAACCATAGCAATAGTCAAAAACTCTTTCTCGGGGGCTGGTGAGATGGCTCAGTGGTCTAAAGCACCTACTTAGAACAAGCATAGCAAAGCACAGGGACCGCGGTTCAATCCCCCAGCACCACATGCCAGCCAGCCCTGCCCCCTGGTGGGCTGAGCTGGCCACACACACACACACACACACACACACACACACACAAATAATAATAATAATTTTTTTTAAAAAAACCTCTTTCTCTGAATGTCCCTTTCCCTCTTAAACCAAGATACAGATCAGGATGGCATGTGAAATGTGCCTGCTCTTTATATAAACTTTCTCCAATCCCACGTTTCAGCTTCAGCTTGTACCCTAGACTTTAAGGATATCTGGTGCCTCTGAGTCCTAAGCTTTGAGTGCTCATTCTGCTTATTAATAAGGTGCAAAATGAATGGTTGTATCCAGAAAGGTCTCTATTATTCCAAATATCTAAGATTAAATTCATAATTCCTCTAACAAACAACTTCCCCTTCCTAGCTCTTTTTTTCCTTCAGTGAGCCAGAACTACACCTCTGACCCAGGATGGGTCCTACTTTTTCTTTAATTCTCACATGTTGGTTAAAGTTGCATTTGCTTTCTGATTTCGTGGTGTTCCCCAGTTCTGTT